ACGTTAAAAATCGGCCCTACATCACAGGCAATCACTTTTATTTACTGCCCCCAATAGATATTTCGTTAAAGTGATTATTAGTGTAAATATTACTGTAACGTTAGTGTTTATTTATTTATGAGTGCCAACAAATACAGTGCAGTATTAAACATTTCATACCATGCCATTGGCATTCATATAAAAGAGAATATTACAAGGGACGTGATCGAAAAAGTCAAAAATTTCAACCTGTTGATTGACCACAAAAATCAATATGTATATTCCATTGGATTTTTTAAGCATTCTTTGTTTACAGCTATTTGTCTTTCGCATTTTAAGTCTTATGTCGGTTTCGGTTTCCGCTGCCGTCTTGGATAATATTTTTCCTACAATTAAGGAACAATTTAATAAGTTTGTACCTTTTCAAGAAGGTTATCGATTCAGGTAAGCGTAATTATTAAAACGTTACTTAATATGTTGCGTAATGGTCTCTTTCAATTCGCTATTATCAACGCTTAGTGTGGAAGATCCAGATGGAAACGGTAAACGTGAAGAATTGAAATATTCCGTATATGATGAGAAAACCGATACTGAAACAGTAACAATGTACACGGCGGATGAGGAAGGCCCTAAACCACCCTTTAAAATACGGAAGTTAAGTGCCAATGTTTTAAAATCCGCTGCTGGCTAATAAGACAAACAATTGTTTCGATTTTTCTGTTATAGAGTTCTTTACATGTAAACAATAATTTCTAGATAAATAATTGGGTCGTTATATAAAAAATTTTCTTAATTATTTAATATTTCTGCGTTTTTTTTTATAAAAAACAAGACATCAAGCTACAGCTAAAAGCTGAAGAAGCCAAATTTACACAACAACAATATGCTTTACTTTAGTTTTATAACACACAACCATGTTTATGTTTCACTTTTTAAAATTCCATTTTGTATTCATTTTTCATTTATTAAGTATTCGTACGAATAGGAAATTAAAAGGGGAAGAATTTTTATGCAACTTAGACTTATGGCCTTTAATAGATATAATTATCTAAATCAACAAAGAATTTTTCTTGGCAACTTTTCAAATTTACTATAGCAACTTGAACGTCACCAAACATTGTGTCATAGCACTAATGTCCTAAATGTTGCGAACAGAGTATAATGAATTTGAACTCTTGAAGTATTTGGTAAGGAGTGATCAGCCATGGATAGCTGTGCTTACGATAAGCAAAAAAAAAAAAAGCCGCGAAACGAGAAAAAGTGACGTGTTCTGCTGTAAATAACCTTAATTAAGGCTTGGAAGGAACTTAATCGCGATTGAGATAAGACATGGTAATCCATAGCATTTATCAAGTATTAATCGTCTTAGGCTATTAAACGAGCCAAGTATAGTAGGAAACGGAGAGGAAATTTCAGAAGTACCTAAGTAAAAATAGTTCGAAGTCAACAGAATTGCTGTTATACACTATGCCTTGGATGCTAGACAAGAGAGGAAACTCAGACAACAGCTTTTAATTGCTATAATTACTCAGACCGTCATTTCGATCGGTCATTGAGTGATACTTAGTGCTTGGTTTTATGTCAGTATTTTGCGAATCATATTTCATTAGTCATATAAGCAAAAAATGTAAATATTTTATACTAAGGAAACACTGATGCAGCCAAGAAAATTCTTCATAGATCATTGATTTTGACTTATGGCACAATTTAGCCATCCTACCCAGCATTACATAAAATAAAACCCCAAGAATAGATTTAGATGACTAACGCTAAGAAAAATAAGAAGCAACAATTTAAGATTAAATTTATTGCTCGAAAGAATACGAATTGGTTAAGTTCTCACATACAGTTCTCACAGAGTTCTTATCATACTGTTTCCTGTGCACAGAAATATATTAAAGATAACAACTTGACATTCGATGATGATTTTTGCTTGATTTTTATCGAAATGCATTTTGAAAGTAGACTCGAGTTGCAACAGAGTCGGATTTCCCAAAATCATCGGGATCGATGCAAGTGACTTAAGAATTATGAAGTCAATCATTTTCGCCAGAAAGTTTTAGTGAATGACTTTGTCAAAATAACGCCACCTATTGATAGTTGGCTCAATTAAATAAATTTAGCTGACAGTCTGTCAAATTTGCTTGACATCGGACGCGTTGCATCGTTACGAAGCCGTGTCGTCATATCGCTTTCCTTTCTAGAGCAAAAGTATTTCTCCGAAGAGTTGTAGGTCACGCTGAACTAAATCGGACGAATACGTCGATTAATTTATCCTTAATATTTTATCCTTGCTGTGCTTATTTTTCGTTCATCAATCAGTTTACATAAAACGAAGCCTGCAAAGACTTTTTGGAGAATCAGCTCCTATTTAGAAATATTTAAATTTGCTTCGCGATTAACGTCAATGTATTCTACGGCTAAACTGTGAAGAACTCATGCCATTATCAGCGATGCCATCTTCAATTATTACAAATTTCTAATATCTACTCAAGTGATGTGTTTCTAAAGTAATCTATCAGGATTATATAAATATATTGCGTCTCTTCATCAATAAGCTAAGATTTGTTAAAGATGTTTTCAATGTTTGAGCAACAATAAAAACATATTTTCATTTTATTGATAAGAAGAATAATTAATGTCAAGAACGCACCTTTTTTCTCTTTTCAAAACTTATTATTGCGGTTATGAAGAAACGTTTATTTATATTCAAGCAAGCCTAAAAACAACTTCTTTGATATTCTGTAATATTTTGAACCAAAATTATGTATAAATTTGCATAAAATGGTAAAAAAAAATTTTCTATTTATATGATAAAGTAATATGTGGCCATTAATGCTACAATGAAACTCTAATAATTGATTTGATTGCTTTAACCGCACGCGACGAGAACACATGTACATTCGTCTTTAACTTATGATATTTGCTGGAATTTACAAAATTTAATTTTAATTGAAAAAAAAAAGAAAACAACATTTAAATTAAATTTTCTTAGCTGGTTTCAACATCATTGCAATATTTATGTATATATATATATATATATATATATATATTCATTTCGGCCAGTTCTTTTAATGTCAATCGTTATTATAATCTATACTTGAATTAGGTGTGGGTGTATGTGAACAAATGACCTGGAAAAAAACTTGCCAGGGTAAATAAGTAACCTTTCGTACATATAAACTGCGTATGCAAAAAAAAAAAGTCCGTTTCCTTTCGAAAGATATGAGTTCGAGAGTACCCGTAAAGTTTTTTTTTTTGCTCTGGAAATGCGTTCCATTTCAAGAAACAAACAAGGCAGAGAAAGGCTTTGCTTTATTTAATTGTTTGCATTAAAAGAAAAAAAATTTGCAGAAAGAAAAAAAGCAAAAAAAAAATCTCTTTGCTTAAAAAAGGACGCGTTTTCATGTCTTTATCATCGACTATAATCTCACTTAACTTAATTATTTTTTTCCGAATTCTTTCTTTACAGCTATTTGTTTTTGGCATTTTAAATCTTATGTGGATAAGTGCTTCCGCTGCCCTCTTGGATAATATTTTTCCTACCATAATGCAAGAATTTTATAAATTTATACCATTTGAAAAAGGCTATCGATTCAGGTAAGGCAGGCATTTATTAAAAATCTTGTTTAATATATCGACCATAACGATTCCGCTCTACACGATATTTAGTTTGGAAGATCCCGATGGAAATGCTAAACGTGATGAAATGGGTGTGTTCTTAAATCCGGGCACACCCGAACAACAACTGATGGTCATGGGTACATATTCGGTAATTGATATCAAAACCAAACTTGAAACTATAACTGTGTATACAGCTGACAAGGACGGATACATAGCGCGCTATGTAATTGAACGAAAATTTAAGATACGTAAATTGTCAAGTGATTGTTTAAAATCAGGCTGTGGTTAAGATGTTCTTGTGCATTTGTATTAATTGCTTACATAAATGACTTTGTTAACCTTTTACTTAATAAATAAAACATTTTGAAGCTAACCAAAACATGTATGGAAAACATATATCATCGAAGACAAGTTTTAGGAAAATTTTCATAACAATTTCAAAAAAATTTTCGCTTTACAATTATTTCATTTAATTTAATTTAAAATCTTATGCTCATTTTAACTTTTATTGCCTCGTGAAACACATTTCATTATTGATTCGTAAGAACAAAAAGTGTGCGTTTAACGGGAAATTTGGGAAACCCATCAAAGTCGCATCGTTTTGTAGATCTTAGATACAATGTATATGCATAGGCAAAAACTCAATTTAATATGACAGCACATTTTGTGCCGTTATTATTGCTTAATAAGCTACCATATATGCACACACCTTAAACCATACGCGAGTTTGTATAATTTTTTTATTCATTAATTGATTATTCGTTGAAGAGTTATTTTTCCACTTTAATATCATATTAGTTATGTTGTATAGACTTGAAGTACTTGTTGCAATTCACTTAACTTCCATTTTGAGCTTTAAAAATCTTAAAATTACAAAATTTTAAGCAATATATGAAAAACTTGGCATTCCATTGCATTTCCTTCTGTTATATTGCAAAAGCTAGTCGTGTTAACATCGTATCGTTAACATTGTTTATTGAGCTTTTAATACTTGTTTTATATTCCACAACAGGAATAAATATGTGCTTTATGTTAATATGGTTATACAAACCACCTTATCGGCCCTTTTACCTGTTAATCTAATTAAATATCTTGCAAACGGAAAATCGCTTATGGCTTAAATAGCAATGTCTTGAGTCTGTTACAATGTTTTTAAGTCAGTTTATTACTCTCAGTTACGAAGCTTTAACGGAGCTTTTAAATTGCTGACATTGTGTCCATCTATCACTTTACAAACCTGTCTAATATGGAAACTACTCTCAATAAAAATGTTACTCATACGAAGTGAACAAATTCAATTAAAAGCCGTCGATACGCAAATAAATAGTTAGATAGATTGATAGAATAGGGTAAGAGGTTTTTGGCGAACATTTTACAAAGCTGATGGCGCTGCAAAACGCTCCTTAGCTAAGAAAATGGTGAGACATGGATCTTTTTAGGTTACAGTACGACTTGCCCACTATAGTACAGTACAATACAAATAGGTTGGCAGCTAAGTTGATAGATATGTGGTTAAGTGAGTAAATAGGTTTATGTTTATCGACGGCTGCGGTAGCATCCTATCAACTATTGGGCCGATGACTTCGAAGTAAGCCCTATCGGAACCTCTTTAACCATAATTTAGAACGGCATCATTAATAGTCACCCTAGTCTCCTACTTTCCCGTCTTGGAAAGCAATTAAGCGTTCCGATTTTCCCTTCGTCCGACATAATGGAATATGTAGTTCAAGCAACCAACACATATATTTCAACTTGTCGTATCCTTTAGCATTACTGCTAGTAGATGAATAGACTTTACCTTTAACTCTAGCTTTGAGTAGAGAGATTAGAGCGGTGCATCGACTTTTATTTTTGTCGAGTTTGAAAAAGTGGTTTTATTCCATTATCTATTTTTTCTTTTATTATTCAATTATCTACTTTCTATTAATCATTATAAAGGGTAGCTTTTTTGATAGTAAAAATTCTGTTTACTAACCAGTAATGGAAGGAAAAGATTTTTATTCAAGTTTTACGTAAGAGTCTCTATAAAGTATTTACGTCGAAGTTGTTTAAGCAGGAAAGTCGATAATAGTGTGCCCCGCATCGTCATTTATGTCTGTGCATGTGCCACACACATTGTCTGCTCGCTGATTGACGTAGTTTGATTTGTTCAATGTCCATATGTCCATATAATACTTGCTTGAAGAAAAAATAAATAAAATAAGCAACTAATTGCCTTAGATAGAGAATATATATGTATATGTATTTATGCAACGTTAGGATATATCCATAAACGAATTCACAAAACCAAGCGTTCGAGTTCGTCGTTAACTAGACTAAAAGGAGGAAAAGAGCTCGTTTAAAACTCTTCTGCAACGAATTAAGGTAACTGATGAAAGCTCTATACATGTTTTTATGCTTCCTCTTCCTCTATACAATACAATTCTCTTTCCACTAACTTGTCAATTGGCAGATTACGGAGAAATCGTACATTCAACCAGCGATAGATGTGTAAACATCACCATCTATTGGTAATGAGAGGTTATTCAATATCCGGCGGAGCTGGATGTGAATAGCGAAGACACCATTCATATGCGTTAATATGTAATATAGTCTATCCTTTAAGAAAGAAAACATAATTTTGAATCCATTAGAAATTACATATGTACAGATATCTTTAATTAGGAAGAATCATTTTCTCTACACTTTAACAAATGTGATTTTCAGAAGTTTTGAAAAAAAAACGAAAACATATGTATATATATTCCATTGTCCAAAATGTTGTCGAAATGATTTAAAATTTTGTACTTAAGAAAAATGCTGAGAACATCTCTTTCCGTATGAAGATGTTCTTAAATTCCTACTCATAATTTCACTATGTCTACGTGCTGGGCTCAACCATTTTATAAGCCAGAGGCCAATACGCTTATATAACGTGACATGGCATTCATCGCATTCGTAACACTCGCATATGAAAATCTGAGATCTCACAAAGTGTGTATAATGTCGGCAATATGTATACAATATGCAACCGTCTCTATATCTATCTCTTCTTGATCGTTGAGAAGCTCAAAGTTGCAAAATAGCATATTGAAAAATAAAATGTAGTTCATATGCTCTTTCAGGTCGAACGGTAGAGCACTATCCGCCCACACCCGTGCCGAAACGTATATTGGGCTAAAACCTGCCATCATGTGAAAAACGCCGCGGGCTGGAAAAGAAAAAAGCAACAAAAAGCTAATTTGTAGGTCGTCGTAGTTGACAAAGTATCTCGACCAGACCTAGAAATATATTTGGCGGGTTATTAAAACTATTATTATTTTTCTCGAGGAATACAGTCAACGGGTAGTCTTTTGAAAGCTTTGGTGTATTATTTAAACTATTCATTATTTCAAGTTTACTGCTACAATCTTATTAAGAAATCTTGTTGGTGCTCACGCTTTACTTTTTTCCAACTCTTACGAAATCAATTCACATAACTCACGCTGTTCCCTTCCAATTAGGATACGGAAAGGATAACTGGTGAAAAGATTAATAAGACCCCAAGCAGGATTATCGTTAACGACCTCATTGTACTGATCTCGGGCCTTTTATAGAAACTTGGCAACTCTGCAGTTAGTTTATGGCATAAAATGATTGAATTGTTTTGCCTCAACATAAGAGTGTACCGTTATAAATTCGAATTATTATGGGCAAAGTTCAGTGAGTTGTGTATATAATAAAGTTTTACGTTTAGCTTAAGTAAATGTATGTCAATTTTTTGTGTTAATTATGCTATTTGAATAGGAAATGATTTTGGCCTCTCCACCAAACTAGGCAGTTTTTTCAACTATGCAATGATGCACACTTGATGGTTATCAAGCTTCGTTTCTCCTTTCAGGAGGCTTCTTAGATATGTATCAAGTAGAGGAGCCTGAAATTACGTTAAGATATTGGACTATGCTACAAAATACCATTGCATTAACAAGCCGGGTATTTTCGATTCGCTTTAAATCGCTATTAATGATTATGGGCCATTAGTAGCTAATAAAATGAACGGTAAATGTTTCAAAGAACTTGAACTGTGTTTACAAAAAAAAAAAAAAAAAAAAAAAAAAAAATAGAAAAAACACTACAATATAAACATTCGAAACAAAATGATTTCGACACGGTAAGTTCAAATTTTTAAACGCTATACTCTCGCTACTGTACGTTGACGCTAGTAATTGTTACTATGGGTAACTGACCAGTTCAATAATAAACCAAACAGAGAACAATTACAAAAAAAGCAAGCCTAAAACACGTTATGGGAGCCATGCGCTTATTGTCTATGCAAAAGAGGAAATCGAGTGAGGGAAATTTTCCCTAAATAACTAAAACAACATGGATAGGCTTTTGTAAATTGGATAGGAAGTAAGTTAGTTTTTAAACAACCGTTGAAGTAGTGAGTTGAAATTCGCAAAAAATGTGTTAACAATTTTATACAAAATATATTCAAATATTTCTTGCAAATGTATGCGTGTCTGAATTGTTTACAATAAGATAATGAATGAATGAATGAATGACTAAATGAATGATTTGTAAATCAGTGAACCAAAGCGAAAGGTTAAAGCAAAAAAAAAAACAAAAACAAAAAAAAAAGTCGTGTTCTTCTCTTTTAAGAATTTATAATATATTTGTAATTAATCAAAAAAAAAAAAAAAAACAAAAAAAAAGCAGGAAAAGAAAGAAAAGTTTATAAGAAAGTTTTAATTCAACTTAAATTTCTTGTAAAACGCTTTTTAATTAATGCGTGTGAACAGTGCAAAGTTTTTTTTAACTTTCTTTTCCTATCCTATAAAGGATTTATGAACGTGACGAACTTGTTGTTGCATGTTTTGTTTGTTTTATAAGACTTTATAAAATGAAATAAATAATAATTTAAAGGAGAATTTTATAAGGCTTAGGTATTATTAATGCCTGCATTTACAATGATATTGAGTGAATTGGTTAAAAATGTTTTCTATTTTGGATTATTACTAAATGTCTCTTATGTTTGCTGCAGCATTGGTTTACCATTAATACAAATAAGTCATGGTACGTTGCATATTAATAGAATTGTTGCTTTCTTTTTTCTTTTTTTTTTTTTCTTTTTTTCTATTATTATGGAATCACATAGCCTAAGTATTGACCTGACTGTATATGAAAGTAATATAAATTTCATATTTTGACGCTTGAAATAGAATATGTTGGCATTCGTTTCTCCCGCATAGCAGGAAGTAAGCGATTATTTTAGGCGGTAATCTTTATTTATTGGTTGGCGTAAAAGTTAGACTGATTTTATAAATAGAGATTTTATTTTTTCACACCTCTACGAATCCATAGACGCGTTTTCTATTGTTTACTTCTATATAGATTTCATATTGCATAGAATACCTATTAATAGTTAACTCTCTAAGTTAAAAAATAATTCTAAAATCTGGGAGTATATCTCAGTCACTCATGAGATTAGTCCCCAAGTATTTAGCAACCTGCTTATCTAAGCATTTCTGCATTTGGTGGACGATGTTTATGTCCCAGTATTGTAAAAACATCTGCTGCAACAACTCGTTCTCGACGTTGCTTATCTCATAACTGCTGTGACTTTCGAAGAACCTAAATAAATGCATATGACCAGCGCAAAATATATAACTAGACGGACTAGTAACTAGGTGCACTGGTAACGAAAGGAAAGTTTTATTAAATATTATATATTGAAATAAGCTTAAAATGCATGAATATTATATTCTACAAAGAAGAATATTAAATATAGTAAAATAAATATTAAATATAGATCATCCATTAGTAGCGTTAAGATAGGCCAGTGATTCAATTAAAAAACCGCAAAACCACAAAAAATTCACACAGCACAAGACACGGCACAAAAATTCATAATCCACAAGGCACAGCACAAATGAGTACATTCGACGGTAGGGTACACTTTGCAACACCATCACAACAACACTCTCGAGAAACCCAACACGAACCACGGGTTCAAAAAACTCTCACGAATGTTATTCGGGACACATTCGGCCGCCTTCGGCTGGGCGCAAACACTAAAAAAGGCGTGACTAAGCCCTTCGGGTAGGATGAACCACACCTCTTTTCACCCCAAAACTCAAAAAAAGGCGTGACTCATCCCACAAAAAAAGCATCGCACATCCAATAAAAACTTTTTTCAGTGTAGCGCATCCCAAAAGTCACTATTACCGACAATATCTCTGTCTTTCGTCTCTTTCTCGCAAAAAATGCATAGTGGAGCTGAAGGAACTTATATTACCTACTTTTAATATTGCGCCTTTTTGTAAACGTAATCAAAATTACATGCAATTCTTCTCTAATCAACTCAATAATCGGCTGACGTCCATCATGAAGAATACCTTAAATTGTCACATAGTCTAATAAATAAGATAAGTGTCTTGATCAACAAGACGGTATTCTCAGTTCGTACTGTCCCGGCATATATCTGTGAACAGTTATTACTCCCTATCTCTTCGTCTTTCTTTATTTCTATCCAACCATCGCAAGGTTATACGTATAGGCAATACTCCCTAATCCAGCATTCAAAAAAAAAAAAGAGAATAAGCCACGTTAATCATTCAATCAAATCTATAAAACTGGGTCTTCTGCCTTACTGCTGATGTTCTTCAATCATCCAATATACATATATATTTTTAAAAGATTTTTTTAATTTAAAATGCTCTTCAAAGGATTGACACAAGTTATTGTGTTGTCTCTATATGCAGGAGCTTCTTTCTATTTAATAATCATAGAATTTTCTAACCATAATTGTATTATCACTACACTGACTAGACCCCATTTAGTTAATTGATCAAACAAAATTTTATAAGCAGAATAGAAAAACGAAAGACATACACAAACTTGCATTTAGCTTAAACCGAATCTTTTGATACTTACAAGTTGTTCTCATTTAGTTTCCTCTCAGTCAATACTTAAGAGCAAGTTTCTCATTCTAGACAAAGACAAAGTCGTAACATTGTAAGAGGAATTTGAATTTACGAATATCCGCCTAAGTGGCCGAGTAGACGAAGCATCTCGCCTATAAACTTGGTGTTGGAGGCGTCAATAGAGAGAATAGCTTAGAAGTCTTTAGCCTTTCTCTGCCTAAATTAATAATAATAATAATAATAATGTTAACAACATTAAAGACGCAAAAGACGATCTTCAGTTGTGCTCTTTTTTCTGATCATGACTATATATATATATATATATATTGTTCTTTAAGTAAACTCCGATCCATACTTAATACCAATACCAAGTATATGAAAAACCTAATATATCCCCATAATGAACATAAAAATCGCCCCAAATTTATATTATTTATATAAATATAAATATGAAAGAGCCTATTTAAGGGTTGGCAATAACAACAGTTGGTATAAGTTGGCAGGTGCATCTAACAGTTTTATTTGTAAAAAATAACAAATTTCTATAGTTACCCTGAATATCTAATAATTAAACAAACAAAGACAATAGCAATGGCACTTGATAATCTAGATAATATTGAGGGAGGAAGGTAAGTGAGGTATTATTCGAATTAACCTCATTCTATTCCCATTTCTTCAGCGACAATTCAAATAAAACGATATTTTGACTGATTTTTTAAAGCACATTGAACTATTGCGCGCAAACTTAAACCTTATCTTTGAATTTTAATCAAAGATATTAAGTTTTAATATTATTAAGGAAGATGTATTAGAGATATAAATTTTTTTTTTTTACTTTAATTTTGGGGTTTGTTAACTATTGCCATCATTTCTGCAAGTGACTGAGGATTACATTGTCGTATGATTCTTTATAAAAACACAAGTTAGGATTGATATTAAAATCAAGAGCAATTGCGACAAACCTTTATTGAATACTTCAAGATTTTGCAAACAATTGTTGACGTTGTATATACTCTTGTCTTTCCTCTTCTTAAATGTTTACATTTTTTTGTTCATAATTCCTTTGTGAATTTGGACAACAGATAAATTTTTTGTAAATCGAGGATCTCCTTATCTCTTGCCAGCTAGTTTTGCAATATACATATATCTTTATAAATGTCGTTCATTAAGTTAATGATCGGCCAATGCAAATAAAAGACTTAGAGGATTTTATTATAATAATTTAATATTTTAAAATAACACACATCCAGACCAAACTATATTTTAAAATCCTAATATTGCCTGGAAAGATTCAAAACTAGTACGAGCACATACCGTTTAACCATCTGTCTATTGGTCGATCAAGATATTTTTGAAATGCTTGAGACAGAGAAAAAGTGGAGATAAAGGGTGCAGCTGGCATAAATTTCCTGAACTTAATTCCAGAAACAGTGCTTCAAAGAATACAAAGAATGATTATAACGCCCACCTCATCTAAAAAAAAAATATATAAAAATATTTATTTAAAACCTAGAACATTGATAATCTTATCACAATTAACTGCGTCAATCTCTTTGAAAAATGTGCATTTAAATTTGTGAATTTAGCGATGACGGGTACATTGGTCATGCATAGAGTATGTGTAATATAAAACTAGGTTGTGATAAAATAAATTGAGAAAAAGACATAATACACACCTTCTAAAATACATTACAAACTATACATAAACTATATACAAACTATGAAAAAATCCGGCCAGGACGGATGGATGGATCGTGACATATGTATTCGTTATAGCATAAAATTTTCTACTTCTCTCACGACGTACATATTCCTCAGACACATTTAACTGCACGGTTAACCACAGTAAGTTGTGAAAGACTTAAGCTAATAGAACTTTTATCCTTTTGCTTTCGTACCAAGCTTTTGGAACTGGATTACCACTTTTATGGCTATGCCAGTCAACGTTAGGCACACACCGCGTTTATATATAAATCTTTTAACTTTTATAGACGATGATCTCACTAATGATTATCCGGAAATGCGAGAGCAAGTTTATCTGGAGGATTTCTTTTGGACTGGATCCGGTGATGGACCGCCAGATTATTTGAAAAAAGTTCACACTGGTATAAGTAAAGGCAAAGATGTGGTAGTGAAAACTGAAACAGTAGTGGCCACTGTGTACGTTGACGGTAATAATGTACGTATCGTGGAAGTACTTAACGTAAATGCTTGACTTCAATTAATTTGAAAATACTGCAGGAAGTTGATATACCAATATGCTTGGATTGTTTTGGTGATGGAACTGTTGGAATAGATGGTACATGGCATGTTGCTGGTATGCCGCCGCTTAATTTTTCGGCTACCGATCGACGTTATTGGTTACTTACCGTCATGTCGGGATTTTATACGCAAAAAGATAATCCGATATTGGCGGAAAAGTTAGCAAAAATTTACCGTTTGGCATTTACAAGGTAAACTTACTAAAAAACATGTAAATAATTTTTTTTTTTTTTTAAATATGTGCATCTTTTACTATTTAGACAACAAACCAAGCATTTGGGTATTAATGGGGTTCAACAAATATCGGGGATTTCGGTAACAGTAAATGACAGAAATAGACGGCATTACAGCAGCGAGCAGTCTACCGCAGGTTTTAACCGATACTTAATTGTTCCCCTTTGTTTTCCTTTCATCATTATGATGGGTTTTTATTTTATTCATGATAGAGCCGGACAATTATGATGTAGAAATTTTAGATATGGTTACTTCAAGCTTATCAACCGAAAATGAACATTCTGATATCTCTCGAGTGGGAAACAAAAATTCTGAATGGTTTACCTCTTCCGAAGAAATAGTTACAGATAACTCTTTACTGTCTAGTGGCAAGGATTATCAAATTGTTATTTCGTCTACGGAAGAGCCAATAGAGGAAGAATCCTATGTTAAAATTCAATCTTGGGAATTAATTCAACAGCATTTACAGTCTGGTAAACAAAGACAATTTTCTGGTACCCTATCGCAGCATGCTACACCGCTTATACAAGCTCAAAACTCGATACTTTTGCGAGATGATCAAGTCCGAGTTATTATACATAATATTACGCAAATAACAGAGGCAGAAATCCAAAAGGCTAATATGGAAGGAGATCTATATGAAAGCGATGTCAATGATAAAATGTAATAATTAAAATACCAAAAACTATTTTTTGTAATAAAATAGATCTAAATTATGCTTACATCGTAGAGACGAACGTCCCGTTGCCAATCAAACCGAACTAATATATTCTGTTTTTGTTAATGGGCGGCCTGTTTTGGCGGTAGCTGCAGCCAATGATATGAAATTGGTGAGTGAAGCCGAAGTATCGACTGTAATGGGTAAAGAGATTTTTATGAAAGCTGAACGTAAGAGAATGACTTCACTAACATTGAATTACAATTAATCAGTTTCGTTTTGCTGTTAAGCCTATCTACGCGAGCCTCAGGCTACTCCATTAGCTCCTGCCACGCATAGCGGTTCGACGGGATTAATTGATTCCATACAAAATAATCCTTTGCTCGTTATCATAAGTTCTATTGCCATACTGCTGCTGCTATTGTTGCTTGTAGCCTTACTATTAATCGCTCGCTCTCACGTCCGTCACAAAAGTAGTCAACAACAGGTGACGAGGTAAAGGCATATATGTTTTTGAAACAAAGCAAAAATAATTTATTTGCCTTTTCTTTATGATAATAAACGAAGAGCTTCCAGTCGCAATGAATTGCTGTCTGAACCACAATCTGGTAGAGCCACATCGAGTGCTGTGGGTTTGGAGAGCGGTCGCACTACAATACAATCCCGGGATGTAGGAACGCAAAACTTCTCATATGAAAATGATAATGGTCCTAGTCCAAGAGAAGCTCGTATACATTTTCCGGCGCCTCCAACGCGACGCATTCGCCGAGATTCCATCACTTCTTCAGATAATACGTCCGATTCATCGGTATATTGCCCAATAAATCCACCAACAGCTGATGTGCAACGTATGCTAGATGAGAAGGCGGCCAGCCTATTCGACGGTCATAGAAGTCGGAGGCGACATAAATATGATAAGGCTGAAGGAACTGAAGAGGCGATCTATACTACCGTTTTGTCAGAAAAGAAGAGAGAGAAGGGTCGTCACAAGCCTAAGCGAAGGTATTTATCAGAGAATCGTGTTGGTTCGTTGGAAACCAGTCCAGTGCAAAGTCAAAAAGATTATTCGGGAGACGAAGCTATTAGTGATACGCGTAGAAAATACGAAAATTTGGAGCGGACAACGGAAGCATTTAATCCTCTTAATAATTATCATCGCAACAAATTGTTGCATCAAAAAACCATATTTTCTGATAAAGATTTTCTAGCCGATCGGACCATAGCTGCTGAAGCTGTAAATAAACATATTATGCATCCGGAAAAGTCATCAGATAGCGGCAGTATAGGTTCATTTTTGTCCATGCAATCCATAAAAGCATTTCCGAAAAATTCCCTTCCTGAGCCACTGCATCGTGTTCTGGAGCCTGTTTTCGTAACGCATTACGATAACATAGAAAATCGAGTTCAGTCTCAGCATAAAAAAAAAATTGCCGAAGATAAAACGACTAACTCCACGAAGGTCACCATTGATAGCTTCCCTACACCAAAAGCACCGCAAAAATACACACTTATGACTTCCCAAAGTGACAATCCGGATCCGGGCATTCTAGGGCCCATTGTTTGGGAAAGATATAAGAAGCGTCAAAGTGCGGACGACGTTTTGGATAACGGTAATGCAGAAAGACGACACCGTTACTAGTAAATATAGAGAAATGTCTAACACACACATAACACTTCCCAACTCATCCATCCCGATGTTTACTTAGCGTTTTAAAACATTTTCCTTTTCTTCTCTGTTCACTTGAATGTTTTACCATCAGATGACATTATTTATGGACATCTGCCTCCGGAAGAAATACATAGTCCAAATAGAGATCCGGCAGCAATAAGAAATCATTACGAGGGTTTATTAGAAGGTGCAATTCAAATGTACTCCAGTCAGGATGATCTGCCTATGCCACTACCAAATAAAGACTTTACAAACAATCGCAAACAAACAAAGCGTGAACTTCGAGGCTCTTCTGCCGAAATGGTAAAGTGAGTAAAATAATTTACAAATTTTTGAGTAGTTTTTAACAAAATTTCAAATTGCAGTGCTATTAGTAAGTCTTCCAATGATTATAATCGGCCGGCAACGGCTAAAATAGAAAATTATTGTACACATCCCCCATCACCTAACGTTGGTGGTGCTTGGCGGGGAAGCAGTGCCCAGAGATCACGTTCTCCTCTTGTACGACCATTAAGTGCCGGTCCTTTTCACCGTCCTGACGATTTCCACACTCAGGCAGTTAGTCGTCAGATTGACGACATTTCAACGGCGCCTCTAATTGAGGCCATACAAAATGAGCTGCGCAAGTTTCAGCAAGAATCTCATTGAACGCATACGAATACGGTATTTGACGCAAAATAAAAAATTATATGAAATAAGATTTTTCCGAATACTTAATTAAGTACACTTAAGTAGGCTTTATGCATAATACTATTAAATACTTTAATTTCTAATACAATCATCTGTGTTTTCTGTTGACGTGAAATTCTGAAGGAATTTTATTAATCGCTATGCTACAATGGAAAATATAGTTAACCAAATCTTCGATGCGTTATTTAACGAAAATTTCTGAATTTATTAATGAACATTTTTAATAACTTTTCATATAAATTACACAATATTTAGAAAATTGCTAATATATTCAGTTTATTACACTGTGTTCGCTTCTTGAAAGTAGTTAGTGCTCCGAAATGCTTTTCCAGCTCGATTTATAGGTATCATCCAAGTTATTTCGCCGCAGTAATGTCTGAGACACAGAAGAAGTCTGCCGGATAAATGACAACGTCCTGAGTGCATATATTATTAACTTCGGCTTTGAATTTTTTTTTTTTGTTTCCATACAGGCCTCTTATGCTTGCTCCATATACATATATAATATCTTAATGTTACCTTAACACTGGCTCGCGTCAACTTTTAGCTCACATATTATATATATGTTTCTTACAGTGACGTTTGTGAGTCGTAATATGAAAATGCGTATGCAAAATAGTCCAATAAACATATATTAAGAGATTATTTCGAAATTTATCAAAAACAAAAAAAAAACAAAGAGTAGGAGAGTAAATTAATAGTCGTAGTATTATGTGAACCACACTTAAATATTGCATTGATTGCAATTCTAACATGTTTTTGTTCTCTTTAACATCTCTATAAAGACTACATTTGCAGCATTCACATAATCTGTTAAAAATTTACTCGTGCCGGCTAGCAATCGAATTTTGTTTATTACTTTAGAGAGTAAGTAAATGAGCGAACTTCGAATTTTGTTACTTTAGAGAGTAAGTAAATGAGCGAACTTCGAATTTTGTTACTTTAGAGACAAAGTGAAAGAGTTTTCTAGCTAACATAGTATGTTTTGTATTTAATCTCTTTAGTT